CCAATCTTATCTGGCTGTTGTTTAGTTATTCAGTTCATATTACAAGTAGCAAGTTACAGGATGAACTATGAAGTTTCTATCTCTTGATGAGAAAATAAGTAGAATGGAGACTTACGGGTTACAAACCTCAAACATGTTAGTAGTGTAAGGTGACAAGGCCGCCGTTCCGAGAAGTAGCCAATGGAACTTCTTTGAAAATAGGATTGTTAGGTTCTGCAGTCGGAGCTCACATTTGCTCCTAATACATTATTTACTGGTATCTGAATGAGACAATTTTATTTTCAACGTGTATGACACTAAACATCTTCAAATGTAACATGAGGTACTTTCTAGTTGTATGTTCCGTATTTCGAAAAAAATCCGAAGACTTCTGATCAGGGAAAAGGCAATCACTACGTAGGGCAAGATATGAGAATTGTCGAGGCATGTCCGACATGGCTGAAGGATAGGCGCTGTCTTTTGCGGAGACTGGAAAGCAAGCTTTCCTTATCTTCACAGGTAACGCTTCTTGGTTTGGTCTTACAATCATTCTCATTGTAGATGGTCACTGAGAGGCAATTGACAAAGAACCAAGGTTGAATTATAGACTATGTGGTCATCAGGACCAATCACACAGCCCTCCCGTAAATTTGTAACAGCCTCGATGCTAATTTGTAATAGGCAATTTTCACGTTGGCAGGACAAAGAAGAGATGAGATGTTGGTGGAGACTTTGAATGATATCTTAACAAATCATGCCGCTTTATCTTCTCCAGGGAAGGTGTGGTTTGATCGGATAATTATGTTTCCAAATGATGACCTCGACGGAGGACCGTGCTATGTGGTACGCTGTCGTTTCTCGTGTAAGACGAGGGCTATTCTTCTCATACCACCTTCCCATATGCAATAATACGCGGGGACTCGAAGTGTTCCGTTACAATCAGTACAAAGGAAAATCTCATTGAACTGACTTCTACATGAACTGGTTATCGTCAAGATTGAGGCACTCCGCAATATCCGCAGTGATGCACACCAACAGTTCTGAAATCCGTCCCAACATTGTGGTTGTTGGACACACGAATTTAAAGTTGAGATACTACAAATCATAGGCTTCTTCTGCGTTGAATTGTGACGCATATCCTATCACACGATTTTGACATACTACAACTCAAAGGCTTCCGCCCTTGAATTGTAGTATCTCAGCTTCATATCCACAATCATGATTGCTTTTTGTATTTTGTAGTTCGCACTGAGTACTTATACCGGGATCTTGCGTACTTCCCTTTCATCGGAGCAGTGTGCAAGCCTAAACTTGATCTTTACCTGCACGAGGCTCTTCGAATCACACTCTGTACATTCAAGAGCACAGAGGTTGGAACGATGACATCTTCGGTTTGAGGAGAATTATTCCCCAGCCGCTGGTACTTGAAATATCTGCGAGCTGCTCTACGAACAAAACCAGGTACTCCTTGATGAGAATGTTGTTTTTCAGACCCTGAAAGCAGACTAAGGGCAATCGTCTGTGACCCATCTAGCAATTTGGACGACATAAGTTATTTCTTCAGCGAGGAGTTGGACTGTTACTGAGTTATTACTTGAAGCAAATTTTCTTCCTGCAGTTTGCATATGTGAACAGAATTCCATCACTTTCTTCAACCCCAGCCTGAAGTGTGAAGGAATGACTCTTTTCTAGCCGCTTCGTGATGTAGTAGTGCCAAAGTCTGTGGTTCCCAATGCTTGAAACAATTCCAAGGAGTACAAGTTTGTCTATGGAGCGCGCCTGAATTGACAGCTCGGAGTGGATTATATATTCGATCAGGTACATACCATGGCTGGATGAGAAGTGGAGTCCCTTCAACTGGTTTCTCAATCATCTGCGATTTCAACATAGCTGTCAAGATGGGGGAGCATCCGATGCAAAAAGCAAGCCGGGGAAGAAGCAGTGCAATCTTGAGCTTCGCGGCCACGGGTCGAAAGCTCGTCTGGGCTTCCTACATGTGCTCGATCGTCCTCGTCCTGCAATATCTAGCGCAGCCGGCTTGTGCGGATCCGGTCCTGGCCTCAAGCGTTGGCTTCTGCAAGCCCGTGCGGTTGGAGGCGACAGCAGAGGAGAAAAACAGAAGTGTGCAATGCTGTCTTCCGGCTCCACGGCGAGCTATCAAAAGGTTCAAATTGCCACATGTGCACCATCTGCGCGTGCGCAGGCCTGCGCACGAGCTGGCCAACGATGTGGAGTACGTGAACAAGTATAACCTGGCTTACGAGAGGATGAACGCGCTGCCCGCTGACGATCCCAGGAGCTTTCTCAGACAATGGCACACTCACTGCTCCTTCTGCAAAGAGGCTTACCTTCAGAGAAGGCTGAATACCTCGACCACAGGATATCCCCTGCAACTGCACTACAGCTGGACCTTCCTCCCATGGCACAGGATGCTGATCTACTTCCACGAGAAGATTCTGGGCAGTCTCATCAACGACCCCGACTTCACTCTCCCGTTCTGGAACTGGGACAACCAGCTGGACGCCACTGCGGGCCAAATTCCTCAGATTTTCCTGCCTTACCAGCAGTCGAATAGATGGCCTCGACAGCGCGGACGGCATGGGCGGTATGGCAAAATCAGGAACACGTTCCTGTACGAGGGCAAACGCCGCAACCCGAACCACATGCCCCCGAAGGTTCTGCCGCTCACCTTCGATGCATCGCTCGAGAAGGAGCGGGCCAATTGGACGCACGACCAGATCAGGCACGCCAACCTGGGCCAGGTTTACGAGATGGTGTACAACAAGGTGAGCGCCAGAGAGTACTTGGGAGGTCCGTACGACACCAACTCCAACTTCACGGAGGCGGTCAACGTCACCGTCGGTGAGTCCGGCGGCTCAGAGTCGCTTCACAACACTGCTCACGAATGGGTGGGCATGCTCAACAACACGGCCTATCCCGACAACGAGGACATGGGCGTGTTCACGTACGCCGGGCGCGACCCGATCTTCTACTCTCACCACGCCAACGTCGACCGTCTGTGGAACGTCTGGAAAGCTCTTCCGGACAAGATCACTCCTGACGGGCACAGGGTCCGCAAGGACTACGACGATTACGACTTCCTGGAGACGGAGTTCACATTCTACGACGAGAACGCAGACATGGTGATCGTGAAGGTGAAGGACACGCTGGAGAGCAACAAGCTCGGCTACACGTACCAGCCCATGGTCGAAGCGGACAGTCTGTGGATAAACCACAAGCCCAACGGGACCAAGCCCAGCTACAAGCGCAGCGACGTGAGGGTCAGCACCAGCAATGCCATCGGAAGGCATCCCACGAGCTTCAAGCTCAGACGCCACGCCCCCACCGCGGCTGATCTCCGAGGCACGCAGGCCCAGAACGTCCAGCAGCTGAGCGAAGGCGTGGTGTTTGAGCACGTCCGCGTGCCCGAGCTCATGTATGTGCGCTTCGACGTTTTCCTCGACTCCCCCTCGGCGACGGCCGAGACGGACGAGGACGAGTCGGCCTACGTGGGCACCTTCACTCACCTCCCCAGCGGAGTGACGACCGTGACGGATCTCGGCCAGAAGATGGTGCACGTCGAGGACGACGACATGTATCGCACGCTCAACATTCGCTTCAGCACATCCTTGGCCTTGAAGAGGCTGGGCGTCACCGACTGGAACACCGACGTCACTGTGACTGTCGTGCCCAGGTTCAGACCTCATGGCTACGGCTGGAACATCAAGTATCTCAGCTTCGCCTGCCTCAGACAAGAATTCACATGATCACGGAAATCACAGAACTCGCTTGCACGCATGCACTTGCTTGAGACTCTCCTCCTGATGTTATGCATCTGAAGTTCGTGATAAGGTACCGGTCAGTTGATAGGTCGCATCTCTTAATCATCTGGAATAAACACCAATCCGGGCCCGAAGCATGACGCTGGACCTGCAGTCTCCGCAACTTCTTAGTCCCTCTGCAAGTCTGTCTCTCTAGATAATAATCCAGTGTCAGGAGACAAGATATCAGCTGTAGTCTGTATGCTCGGGCCCACAAACTTGCAGCCCATCTTCCAACTTTCAATAAATATATCAGCTTCTTTCACATCGATGACATTTCCCTGCAAAACACTCACCGAATGCTATTCACACGCTTCAATTCGCCGAGATTACACACAACGGGGTTATCCGAAAAAAGGACTTCAATCAGTTGCGCCATGCAAATAAATGAAATGGTTTTCTACTCTTCGGAATAATTTCGTCATATACTAGGTAAGCATAGAACTCTCTTCATATTCCAAGAATAATATATTCTTCTTTATAACAGAAGATTGGTATAACAAGTCGTGGATTCACCAAGGTCATCAAACTATGAGAGATCGTGATAAGGTATCGGTCAGTTGATAGGACGCATCTCTTACCGGTCGTTCCTTTATCATCTAGAACGAACACCATTCCGGGTCCGAAGCATGACTCTCGACCTGCAGTCTCCGCAACTTCTAAGACCATCTGCAGGTCCGCCTCCCTAGCTCATAATCCGATGTCTGGAGACAAGATATAAGATGTCGTCTGTAAGCTCCACCCACAAAGGTGGAGTTAGAATTCTAACTCGATTAGAGTTGTTATGGCTTTAAATGTATGGGATCCTAGTGTTCTAACCCAAACATTGCTGCTAATATTCCAATTGAATGGAGTGTACAATGGTCTTTTGCAGTGTCAAGATCTGGATAGTCTACATCACCGGAATTTTTAAAAACATCATCTAGAAAGAATCCGCATGAATAACAGGCCATCCTCAGGTTTGTTTCCTAATTCGTCATCTGTGGCTGATAATCAAGTGTCTCGTGACAAGATATAATATCTCATTTTGTATGCTCGGCCTTGTTCCAAATGAATTTGCAGGCATCTTCAGCCGATATTCGAATTGAGAATGTCAATCACAGTGATCACGTTTTATTGCGAAACATTAAATGATCGCATTATTCTCATGTTCCTTTTGCAGGGCAGACATGCATGACACAAGTATTTATCAAAGAAAGTTGCCTACGTCATTAGAATTGATGAAAAATGTTACAATGGTCATGACGTATGGGACTGTCGTAAACTATATTCTACATCCTGGTGTAGAGCTCAGACATCCAACCGTACATGTTTGTTCACTGCAAGGACCGATGTCACGGTAATTCGTCTTTTTGCATATAGATTGATGCTATGGCTCTTTATTTCCACGATCATCCCTTATTGAATGATTGCTATGTTGAACCTCCCCAATGGAGATGATTCAGCAAATGAATGAATTGTGTATACTGTCGATTAGGCTTACAGCAATTTTCTGAAAGCAGAGCCTGTGCGTTTTCAATTTGGATTACAAGTATCCTTGAAGACGAATCTCTGTGCTTTCCTTTCAGAACTGAGGTTTCGCTCTTTAATTCCCACCCCAGCACCACGTCTACACTGGAGATTCTTGACTTTCCAAAATGATGAGAGCTTGCTAATCAAGGCTGTGTTAATGGTTGATGACTGAACAGACTCGGCGAACCTCACCGTCAGTCGCCCACTGGATGTTACTCATCTTCGTCATGGCTGCTGCGAAGTCACTTGAGAACGAAGAGCCGGCCTTCGAGTATCGAGTCACAAGCTCCTTTCCCACTGGATTCGTCAATAAGTTTGCATCCGACTGGAAGAGGCCTTTGTTGTTCAAGACTGCCTTGAAGTACAAATGGTCGAAGGTGTTCTTGGTGGAATCCATGGCTAGCGTGCTGCCCGGTTCGTTCTCTGGGCACTTCTTCTTGAGCTGTGTGGCTAAAGACGCGTCGATAGATGGATCGGTGAGTCCCGCAACTCCGTTGAAGTTATAGAGACGAGACTGAACTGCCCCGCATGATGATCGGCCGATGGTGTGGCCTCCGGAGAGAATGACCATTTCCTCCTGCGTGAATCCCAAAGCCGTGAAATTCTGTACAAGTTCGTCGTAAGTCGAGAATGGTGATGGAAGCTTCGCATCTGCCTCGGAAGAAATCGAAAGTTCCCCATCTTTGCGGCCGAGATCCAGTGACCAGCTCTGACCTCCAACCTGAAATTGTAGCGGAAGTCAGTCGAGCTATCACAAGCTGGTTCTTCAATCTATTAGAAGCCTAAGTGGGATCGAAACTCTGCAGTGTGAATGTTAGTGAAGCAGAGTTAAGCGAGTAAATTTTAGGAGAAGTTTTATACCTTTACGGTGGCATCACGAGCAGCTAGGGCGAGAATATCGGCACATGATACAATTCCAGGGCACTCCGCCTCTAGTGCGGCTTTGATTTGGTCGATTTCGTCAAATCCTCGAAGCGATCCATTGGGTCGTGCATCCTTCTCAGCCGTGTTGGTTGGCGAATTTAGGAGCACGGAAGCATCGCAGCCCTGCACCATGGACATCACGATACTGTTTACAGAAGTTTTCAGGTGGAAGTTTTGTGCATACGAAGGTCTCATTGAAATTGTCCACTTATTTCGTGCAAGTCTGCTCTTGAAATCGTAGACTATGATTGAGTGGATTGATGAGAACTCACCCTCACAAAGCAGTCGTGAAAATGCAGTCGCAGGAATCCCCCCGCCAGATTTTTGTTTTCCTTGACAAAGTTGTTGACCATGTCCGTCACTATGGTCGTTGCTTCCGGGCATGAGTCTTTGTAGTAATCAGCACCACTGTAGGAGTGAGCGTCTGTCGTTGTCGCCAGTAGAATCAGTCCCAACAAACTCAGTAAACGGAAAGGTGGAAACGAGCCCATCTTGAGAAAGCTTTGATCGACGCGCTCCTTTTGCGTCGACTTGTGCAGGTCGACGAACAACGCTGAAGTCTGTCTCCGAATTTCCGCTCAAATCGCTAAGTGGATATGAATCCTCTATGCACCTGAAATTTTGAGGCACTTGATTCTCCTTCGAAGAATAATTATACTGGACTTAAGGCAGTGTAGATGTGCAGGTAGCAATGGAATCTGATAGTTGGGATTTGGATGGAATGCTGGGCTCACCCTTCACATCTATATACACTCCGGACAAAGAGCGTCATTTACACTTTAGTGACTGTTCGATGCGGACCTGGTACAGCAGAGCGTGGACTCGTATATCTGATATTCTGGCGATGTGGAACGGGTTCCCAAGGTCATGGCATACGCCAAAAACTGTCTATTTGCATCCGACCCAAAGCGTTGACTAATTCATCATAATCACTAGATCTTTCACATTTTGCAGCACAAGGTGAAGCGATTCCGGTGATATCTGCTGGTGACTATCGAACAAACAAGTTCGATCCCCGATGTTCAGTGGGATCCACAGAAGGGACCTGTATAACATGTCTCCTTGTGGATTTTCCTCTCAGATGTAAACGGCCTCACAACATTGCATCGAGTCTTCTGAAGCGAACGTAAACAATGTGATATGGCATGTGCCCTTATTACCCTAGACTCGGGAAGTGCGCAGTTCAACCGGGGGATGATATCGTGTGTTGCCGAGTTGCTACCTGAACGCAGATCCTCCGGCAGACTCATGCACGCTGACTAGAGTGTGTGCTGCACTGGTCAGATGGGACCTTTAGGGTCTTATTTGCCCGCACAATGCGATCATCGTCATCACGTAAAATCCCTGGAGGTGTTAATATTCGAGCACAACGGAGGGAGTTTCAGATAAGGTTGGAAAGACTAGAATCTCCATGCACAATCTAACAGCGTCTTGCTATCAGACCACTCGGTCCGCCGTCTGAAACCACAGGAATTACCTGAATCGGTGGTAGGATGCTAACGGCGGCAATGATTCGGAATCGGTTTCATGCCGTGTACCCCTCTTCCCCACATCCTACAATACCCTTTGGGCTTTCTTCGCAGGGATGATGGGCCCATCTCCCGGTAAGTGGTGAGAAAAACGTGGGATTCTGTTCAGGCGACATTGCCGGCGGCTGGGAGACGCTAACAATTCAGTGGAAGCCATGGTTACCATTTGACCTGACCATGCGTAGGGCGGGAAGCTTGCAGCCTCCGAGCCCAATTCTGGAGGTTAATGAGTTTAAGATGGCCGCTAGGCGCTGTATTATCGAGAGGATTGTATCGATGAGTATACACGGTTGCCACACACCACAAAGAAAACCCTCTTCATAGAGTCATTCCAGAAGGAAAATCTTCTCTTGATAAATCCCTCGAGTAGGAGGGTTTTATCACGAGGGATAAAACTCTGAGGATTATGAATTCTGGAATGACACTGCTGGAGCTTAGAGGCCGAAGCAAGTGTGCAAGACCTGGCGACGAACTACGTGGACGCGATCAGATACACGTCAGTCCATGCGAAACGCTGACCTGTTCCCATAGGACCTCCAGAGGTATCCAGTCTCCACGTTGACTCAATTGACTCGCTTAGAGATTACAAACGTGCGCTTTGGCTAATTGAGGTGTCATCCTTCCCATGGGCGATACTGGTCCCATCAATTGACGAATTTATATGCTAGTGTTGAACAAGTTGTGACGATCAGCCAGATAGAAGATCTCGCTTCTTTTACGATATTTCATGGATCTAATTCCGACGCTGCTGCGTAATCTGAACTTTGAATCGAAATGTACAGTCTGTTCAATTATAATTCTCGAAGACCTCTGGGGGGAAATATCTGTAAGCGATATTTAAGGGTTTTGGGACACATTCATGTCAGTTCACCAGTGAAATCCCTGGAAGCTAACTGTGAAGAGCAGGTAATGAAATACGGATGCCAGCTCTTGAACGTCCAGGTGGTATCGAAATTTCATGAATCTTTAGGGAATCAATAACTCAGATCCATTAGTCAGCTGTTCTGGAAATTTCAGAATCTTTCGTGAATCTTTCGTGATGTATTCGAGTCATTGGACTCGAATACATCTACTTTATTACTGTGCTGTAATAGCATGTCAAAAAATTGGCCTTTCAAACGGCAGTATTTAGGATTAGGACGACTGTACCCAGTAAGCACCTCGAAGAAAAGGATTACATGTCGCTTGTACTGAAATACTTACATCTCCCTAAGCTTCAAATCGCCTAGACTTGGTAATGGACGAACAAGTAACTAGCAAACTGGCTCCAAGCTACATGCCTGAGCAAGATCCAAGAGCTTGGTTGTGAATAGCTCGAATTTTCAAGGCATGGATATCCTTCCCCACGTTTACACTTAAGGAGAGTAAATATAAAGCCAGGTGCAGACATTAAAATTTGAAGATTTTATTTTTTTTCCTGGATACACTTCTGAATGGGACGAGGGACCTCTAGCTCGGACGATATTTTTAATATAGAAAGGCACTTCCCTTTGCAGTGTCCCTTTCGTGACAGTGCAAAGAAAATTGCTCTTTAATGGACGAGATTGACAAGGAAGACCATTCCTTTCACGACATCGGACTAAGGACCCGGTCTGGTAGCACGCTTTCGATTTAGCTGTTTGTATGGACAATGTTTCGATTAAGATGGGCCCACATACTACAAGTTGTGAAGGAAGGCCCCAGCGTTCAGTACTATGGGGCGCCCATGGAATTGTACATTGCGCACGAATTTTCTGTTTCTTCAAAGCATTTTGGCAAGCACAGCGAGCGTAATAAAAATCTCACCTCGCCGTACTTCTCCGTGGTACAATGTAAATGGTGACTCTTCTCTAGATAATTCTGTAAGAGGAGGCAAGGTGAACCTGAAATAGCAAAGTCAGATTGCATAGCAACTTGTTGGCATGTTGAGCCTTCACCCTTCAGAGGAGCCAGAAACAAAAGACGTCCCGTAGAGTCCTATGTGAGCACAAAACTGTGCTCACATGTCTTTTTACCCTTATGAGAGTTAGAAGTTTGGATTTAAGCTCTTGCAAAATTATGCTTGGGGTTTTCTGGAAGTTTTTGCAAGATTAGGAGTTGGTGTGATTGTTAGGGGGCAAGAGGTGCGGAAGGAGGCCTTAGGGGCAAGGTCTTCGGCGAAGTGCCTTCGGTGAAGTGCCTTCGGGGAAAGGCCTTCAGCCAAGAGTGAAACTCTCATAACGTTGTCAATGTGTGACGCCTTGACTCAATTAGTGTCTTGTTGGAAAAAGCTCGCAACGCTCGTTCCAACGAGACCAAGAACTCTTGAAACGGATGAGACATCATTGAGTTAGGAGCGACGGAAGTTTCTAATATAGAGGGGCCTTTGGACCAAGGACGGCCTGTGGATAGGCGGACGGCCTGTGCACAGGCGGGTTGCGAGTAGGCGGCTTACAACGCGGACGCGGACGCCTGTGCACAGGCGGGTTGCGAGTAGGCGGCCTGTGCACAGGCAGGCCTTCGGCGGAAGGGTAAAATCAACATACCGTTTTCAATTCTTAACGGTTTGCGTTGGTTGGGGTCTCGTTGGAAAGAGCTCGCGACGCTCGTTCCAACGAGCCCGAGAACGCTTGGAACGGATGAGGACTAAGGGAGTTGTGACTATCGGAAGATATGTAGACGTTTGCCTTCGGCGGAATGAGTTCGCCTCCGGCGGGAATTCCGCCTACGCGGAAGGGAGATCAACTTTTGTCCGATGCGCGGACGCATGCCTTCGGCGGTTGCAGGCCTTCGGCGAAACAATAAAACCAGCATATCTTTTTCAATTCTTAGCAGTTTGACTTGATTCGGGTGTCGTTGGAAAGAACTCGACGCGCTGGTTTCAACGAGACCAAGATCTCTTGAAACGGATTAGTAATCACTGAGTTATGAGCGTCGAAATTGGCTGTCACGGTTAGGAGAGAGGCCTTCGGCGTTAACATATAGAGGGGCCTTTGGCGTTAACAGTTAGAGGGGCCTTCGGCCTGTGCACAGGCGGACTCCTGCGGAGCGGACGCGGACGCCTGTGCACAGGCGGACACCTGCGCACGGACGCGGACGGCCTGTGGAAAGGCAGCCCGCGGGTAGGACGCGGACGCCTGCGGGTAGGCGAACGCCTTCGGCGGAAGAGTAAAAACCATCATAATTTTCTCAATTCCTATCGGTTTGACTTAGTTAGGGGCTCGTTGGAAAGAGCACAACACGCTTGTTCCAACGAGCCCAAGAACGTTGCAAACGAAGCAAGGATCCGTGAGTTATGGGCGTCGGGGTGACTGATATAGATAGGCAAAGGTGCAGAAGAGTGTCTTCGGCGGGGGATGCCTTCGGCGGTGCGCGGAAGACAATTTCGGACGGCGGATGTTGACGTGATCATAAATAAAGACTGTACAGGTGTGGCATCGTGGGGCAGGAAGTTGCACATGGGAGCCAGGCCGTTGCCCATCATCGCGGGCTGTGGGTGACTCGGCCCTTGAACGTTGTAGAGGAATTTTTGGCCTGGGGATAGAGATCGTGTGGTGTGCCATTGTGTGGAGACGCTGGTGGGATCGGTAGGAGGATAGAGTGTGGACGTGAGTGATTTTCGCAGGGAAGTGGTGAGGATTAGGAGGGGAGTGTGGAGAGTTCGAAGAAGAAGAAGAAAGCAACCTATCGTGGGTGGAGAGTGGTATCGTGGAGTGAAATTAGAGTGGGATCAGAGATTGAGGTGTGACATCTGTGACTGGGATCCGAGATTGAAGTGTAATCTGTGAGTGGGATCCGAGATTGAAGTGAAATCCGTGAGTGGAAAATCTGAGATTGAGATCTGAGATTGAAGTGTAATCTGTGAGTGGGAGCTGAAATCCGAGTGGAAGACCTGAGAATGGGAGCTGAGAGTGAAGCGAAATCTGAGACTGAAATCTGACAGTCGGGATCTGAAATTGAAATTGAAAAGGGAGAGTTGAATCTGAGAGAGGAATCTGGTGGGGTCTGAAGGTGGAAGCTGAGAAATCGACACTGAAATCCGAGTAGGAATTGGGAGTGGAACTCGGAGCTAGGATAGACCACAGCGGCTGTGGTATTGAGAAGTCACCCAGAGTTGGGTTAGATCTTTATGTAACAAAGAGCTTGTCTGCTGCTCTGTGGAGATGGCAGACAGCAAGTTATTATTTTCATTTCTGGATAATTGTCTGTGAAAGAGCAAATGTTCATGATCTCATTGTCTTGAATACACTTTGACCACATAGTCGAAATCAGGGAAGTTAGATTATGGGAGCTCGAACCCCCACCTGGACTACAAACGCTGAAGGGTGGGGAGTTTAGGCTCACATCCTACTCATGACTGAAGACTTTGTTCTCACTCGTCAGGTGGAGACTTTGATGGCAATGAGTTTGTTCCTCGCTGAGTCAGCAGTTGGGAATAAATTTCTAAAACTCAAGCAAATAGAAATTTCTATTTGCTTGAGTTTTAGAAATTTGGTGAGATATATCTGAAGATTAATGCAGTCTAACAAAGGTATCACATTGATTACAATCAACTTAAAGAAGTTGCTAGTATCGAGAGAACCGAGAGCATTCGACTTCTTTATTCTCATTGTAACTCATTCATGAGATGTACGGAATGTGTTATTAGATCTTATTGGGGAAATTCGTTTAGATGAAATTATGTCCGTCCCGAGGTTTGTGGTTTATCAAAAGACAGTTTCATAGAAAATGCTATGTGATTGATAACTCAAATATTTATTTATACAACTAGTTATTTTAGAGGGTTGTGTAATATATTGGTCAAATAAGTTTCGTGTTTTGAAATACAATTTACTGGTGATTCAAGACTGGGTCTATTACAGAAGCACTCTTAATTTCGTGGTGCTCAAGCCTGGAGAAAATGCGCCTATAAAGGGGCACTTTTATACCCGCAAGGATTAACTTGCTCTCAGTGCATCCATCTGCCCGCCGCTCAAAACACTCATTCTTAAGCGCGATGGTCGGCCTAGTCACACGATCGTTAGCCCTGCTTCGTTGACCTTGCCTCAATTGTTCTTCCGTTTCCTTGGCTCAGCGTATTCCATTCTCTTCGTCACATTCCTACAGCAACAGCTGGTTCCACTTGACACTGCCTTCTTCTTGCCTCTCCACTTTATTACTCTCCAGT